CGGCCCTCGGCGTGCCCGGGACCGCCTCCCGCGGACTCAAGCCCCCAGCCCCGTGGACCCTCGGCGGGCGCGCCTGGCCCCCTGCCAGAAGCCGGTTTTACTTGTTTCCGACCGAATTCGCCTCGCTTGTTCCTCTTCGTGGCGAGAGCTGGTGACGGGCGGAAAACTAGTATGTGCGGGGGCGGGTCGTGCCCAGCACTGTGCTAAGTGCTTTGCTGATGCTGTTAAGATTCTTGTAACATTCCGGTGCTGTCGGAATGTGTAGGGTGCGGGCAAAAAAGAAAAAAGCTTATTGGGAACCCAGGAATGGTACTTTGAAAATACAGATTTACATTTTTCCTTTGCTCCTGTTTTAGAGTTCTTACTCCGCTGCGAATAAGCATCGGTCTCCTCTCTCCCACTCGCCTTGCGCTTTTTTGTGTTTGGTGCGGGTGTATGAATATTTAATAGAGTACGTAAACTTTAAAAAAGAACCAGTATGTATCAAACGCGATTAAGTGCCCTGGGCACCCCCATATATTAGCATTTTGAACTTTTTATTTAATGGAATTTAGATCATCGTGTTACCCGGATCGCAGTGCTTAAAAACCTTGTGTCTGATGCAGAAGAGTCTTATGTTAGGCTACTCATTTTCAGCACTTGATTTCTGACTAGACATGAACGTTTAGCATATTGTAGTTATTTTAATAGTTATTTCAGATGGACTGAACGCCACTTAGAATAGCGCCTTAATGTTGGGGATTAAGTATATATAAAGCGCTTAGAGCAGTATCTGCACCTAACTAGTGTTAGGTAATTGCTAACTATTGTTAGGATGCTGATTATTTGCAGACTCTTTTGCCAGAGGCTATTCTAATATGGTTGTTTTTTTGTGTTATCCTTACCAGTATTCTTAATTTTCCCTTTTTTAAAGCTATGTTTGATTTTTAGAAGTAAACTGGCTTCTTGAGCAAAATAGGTTTACTTGTTTTATTCATTTAAATTTGTGATTTAATAGAGGATAAGTATTCAGATTACATTCTTTGCTTTAAATATCATTGTTTTTTTAATCGTACCTGCGATCTCTTACATTCATGACAAAATAAGTTATGATTTCATTACTGACATCATTATTAAATGTTTTGAACAAAAACCAAATTTCATTTGAAAATTTTTTAAATAGTTGTAGAAGTAATCTGATAAATGAAATCTCTGCTTTCAGTGTTTGGGGTGGCACAGAGAGGCATCAGTCAGAAGGCACTAATAAGTACTGCTTATCCAAATTTTTAAAAAAGATTTAGTTATGTATAGGGTGGGGGGTGGGGAGGATTCACTAGAGACAGAGTGGGGAGCAGAACATGTGGACTGAGAGAAACACACTGCTGAGGGGAGCAGGGGGCGAGACAGGAGAGATCTGTGCCATGTGGGTAAGCTCCCTGTCTGGGAATGGAACTTCTGCCGTGGATGCATATAGATAGCTTGATAGTGCTGTGTCTTTAATCTCTGTGCCACCAGGGAGGTGGGGTTTATCCAGATTTACAACAGGAAGTTTATAAAATCTTTTGTATTAAAAGAATGAGACAATCCATTGGGAAACTAGGTACAATAACTATGCAAGTATATTCCTTGCCCTCTCACTTTCTTCCCTAGCAAGTATGAGCCATTAGGGTATCTTTTTTCACTCAGATTTTCCTAAAGCAGGAACAGGACAGGCAACACTAGAACAGAATGGTTGAAATGGACTGTGTCAGATGGGCCATTCTTCCATGTCTCTGTGTGACTGAGAAGTGGGGAGGCAGGGGGATGGTGGTGGCAAGAGAAACATGAGGTCTGGCTTGACCAATGTCTTAGCTCTCATCCCACCAGAACAAACCAAATGGATTCATAAAGAATCCATTTCATTTTGTGCGCTTGTCCGCCTTGCCAGAGGACTATCTGATTCTAAGAGCCCTGGAGCCTAAACTGGTTGCTGGTGTGGCATTGCAGTCCAGACACTTCTCATACATACATGGTGTTTGAGCGGCCTGAACTGTGGCTGTGACATACCATCGTTGCTTGCAAACATTAACAGTCTTCATTGTTTTCAGACTGTAGCTGTGACAGTGTGTTATGATGCCGTCTCGCACCAACCTGGCTGCTGGAATCCCCAGTAGTAAGGTGAAATACTCAAGGCTCTCCAGCACTGATGATGGCTACATCGACCTTCAGGTAAATGCAGAGATACTGGCGGACTCAGATTCTGTTGAGTTAGCAGGAAAACCTTCCAGGAGGAGGCTTTGCTAATTGTCCCTGGGGATTCGAGGAAGCAGCTCTGAGACCTTTTTAGCAAGGCCTGCAAGAAGGAGGGACTCTGGGAGAGCAGTTTCAAGCCAATAGAAATACTGTTCATTGCGAACAACTTTAGGTGGTTACACTAGAACCCAGAAGTTGCAATTTTTATTTAGGTTATCTGAAAATCATCAGATTTTGTTTCCTTAAGTAGACTTTTTTTAAGGACTGTGTCATTGGTTTGTTTACGCTTTAGTCAAAGCCAGTTCATCTTTTAAGGGAGAAACTAGCTGCTAACACCAGCAGATTGTGGAAATCTTCCTTCTTTCCCGATGTCATGAGATCCAATTTATTAAAGGTATTCTTTGTGGCAAACAGTAAGTAAAACAGAATATTACGTTTATATCTTACCCTAGTCATTGTTTATAAGGTACTTAACGGCATAGCATCTTTTGCCTACCGCAATTTAGAATTAGAATGTTCTAGGTAGAATAGACCCAAAGAGGAAGTTGTAGAAACACAATCTTTTAAATATAAACAAACCAATTATTATTTGCACTTGTAGAGACATTTTTTTAAGTATACCTGGGCACCTGTGAGCCAGTGAAGTCAGATACAGCCAAGAGCCAAACCTTAGAAATTTGTCTCTGAATCATAACCTGCCTCATGAAGCAGATTACTTACTCCTTGGGGAAAGCAACTAATACATCCGAAAAAGTTGTTCTAAAACTTTTGACTATATGCTGAGTAAACATTGATTTCTGGAAATCACCTCCAGATTATGATGTTCACTCTTGAACCCTGGTAGATAAATACAGTCTTCCATGTGCCAGGCATTTAGTAAATGTCTAGTTAATGAATAAACATAGAGTGATGGGGAGGGTGAGGAAATAGTTTTGTCCGGCACAATGAATGGTCTATGGAATGAGACTAGAACTAGAAAGAGTAACATTCTCCTGGGGCTCCTTCCAGTGACATTGAGCAATAACTGGAACAACAGTAGAGCTTCATCTACTGCCAGTCCCTCTCCTTTCTCAGTAGCTTCACTGGGTCGTAGGATTTAATTCAAAACACATTAAGCATCCAGATTAGTTCTTACTCTCTTCTGTGCTTTAAAGTGTCTGAACCCTGGTGTTTTCATAATGTGCTCCTTGTCTTATTTTTTCTCTTCCAGTTTAAGAAAAGTCCTCCCAAGATTCCCTATAAGGCCATTGCGCTTGCTACCGTACTGTTTCTGATTGGCGCCTTTCTTATCATCATAGGCTCCCTCCTGCTGGCGGGCTACATCAGCAAAGGGGTAAGCTGAAGGGCTTGTGGGAATGTGCCCGAGATCTTTAAAATGTGAGCCAGGGTTCTGTTGTTTTAAATTTATATCTAGCTCTTGCACTCAGGAAGAACAAGAGGACTTTCTTTTAGATTTCATTCTCTGATAACCAAACGTGTTTCTTTTGAGCAACAACAAATTTCTCCTATGGCTCCTCCAAAGGTGGGTGGTAGCGAACTCTCCTTGAGATAATAGGCAGTTTTCCCACTGCGGTAGATTGAAACAACAAAGCGGAGCCTGGCTTTGAGGATTCTGTGGGGAAAGGCTGTAACTGGAGAAGAACGCCATTGGTGCGGCTTTGCAGTGCCCCACTTTCTAGCCTGTGTTTGGGAAAAGCAGTGACGCTGTAATGGTCATGGGCCACTGCCCAGCAGCACTTCTGGCTCATGGATCGGCTGGTTCTTGTTGGATTTGGTTGGAGCTTTAATATGACACCTTGAAAACCTAAAGTGGTGGTTAGTGATTCTTTCTCTTGGGCATGATACAGATACTTATACTTAGGGCATAAGTACTTCTGAACCAATATTGACCATAGTGCACTTCCATTCTTGAGAATACATTTAGCAGATAGGTGCACAAAATGAGAACTGAATTCATTTGTGCAAAAGCAGTGGGAAAGTTTATATAATAAGTTAGGCTGAAGGCTAAAGATGTTAATTAAGAAAAATCAGGCTAAGGGATGATGGTCACAATGCTCTGCTGGAGGGACACAGAGAAGAGCAGAAACTGGGCATTTTCTAGGAATTGGGATGGTTCCTCTGACAATAAAATAACTACATAAGAGTTCAAAGAAGTTAACTCAGGGCCTCCCTGGCCCTTGCCAGCCACTGCAGCATGAGTTCTATCCCCAGCCTGGGAGGTGACCCACATGGCATGGCAGGTCTCTCCTGACCAGCCCGCTGCTCCCCTCAGCAGTGTACTTCAGTAGATCTGCCTGCTCTCCTCTCTGGTAAGTCCTCTCACCCCCCACTCCCCATCTCTGGCCTATACCCTAGTTCTTTACACAAATAAATAAAATCTTGACCCATTTGCCATAGTTCCTTAGCTGTTTGAAACTATTATGTGGCCACCAGACATTTACTTGGTGGAGCCTGAGTTTGAACAGCTAACTTCTGGCCTGTGCCTCCAGTTAACTTTCTGTCCAGCATCTCGTATTAACCCAGGGCAGTAAGGAGCCTGTTCAGTATTAGACAAGTTGAGAGAGGAAGTGAGCTGCACATGCCAGGAGATGCGTGTGTGTGTGTGTGTGTGTGTGTGTGTGTGTGTGTGTGTGTGTGT